TTTTTAGCTCGTGAATGTATTGCTGTATTGAAAGCCAAGAAACTGCATAAACACGTCCAGGAACTAGGATGTAAGGTTCCAACTAGCCACCAAGGTCTGTACAGCAGCTGGGAGTTTGTTAGTGCCATCAGTCAGCATCTTGAACAAGACCTTCTAAAGCAGCTGAAATCATCACCATTTTTTAGTCTCATTGGCGATGAGTCTACTGATATTGCTGTTCAGAAGAACTTGATCCTGTATGTCAAATATTTGTGTGAAGGTCAAGTACATCTAGGTTTCTTAAAGTTGCTTAAGCTTGAAAGAGCAGATGCTACTCACATATATGAAAGTATTGTCAACTATTTTGCTGAGAATCATGTTGACATATCAAGAATGGTGATGTGGACGTCTGATGGTGCCGAGGTGATGCTTGGAAAATATGGAGGTGTACAAGCAAAACTGAAGGTATACCTACATGCAATATACAATATAATACATTGACTTACCTTATTTCATTTTTAGACAGTTTCTCCCCTTATGATCGAGTTTCACTGTATTGCCCATCGAGAGGCTTTAGCTGTTTCCCAAGCTACCACAACAGTTCAGTATTTCACAAAAGTGGAGAATGTTGTTAAGAGTCTCTATTCATATTTTTCAAGGTATAAGCCTGGCCATGGTTGTTAAAAATCTACAATTTTGTTAATTATCTAGGTCTTCCACTCGATATGAAAGGCTCAATGCCATTTTTGCAGTATTGCAACAAAAGTCTGTACGTCTGAAGAAAGTTTTTGATGTGCGATGGCTAAGTAGGAAAGAAGCAGTAGAAGCTGTTGTTAAATCTTATTCAGCACTAACCTTGTTTTTTGGCGAAGAAAGTGAAAGTGACAGAGATCCAACAGGCACTGCGAGAGGATTATACAAGAGCCTTACTGATTACAGGTATTTGTACATGTATATGTATTGTTAGGAGGAGCTACATGTTGCGAACTTAAATTAAGTGTTATGTAGTTAATTAATTGTAATTATATGTCATTTGACATATGTACATGTACTCTTGTAGTATATTTATTTGTAAATTACCGTTTGCTATTAAATAGGTTTGCACTGACGCTACATTTTTTGAAGGATGTCTTAACCACACTTTGTGAATTAAACAAGTACTTTCAGATAGCGGGCATTCATCCTTCTGATGTTCATGAAAAGGTTTCCACTACAATTGGTGTACTGGAAAGTCGTTACTTGCAGCAAGAAATACATTGGGGTTTTTCAGTGGACAAGTTCTTGCAAGCTATTGAGAGTGGTGTAGTACCTGAACTTACTATAAATCGAAGCAAAACAGAACTAGTTGAAAAGGATGTCCAGAAGTTTGTGACTAAGGTTATTATGAATCTACAAGCTCGCTTTCCTGAAACTGAAAAACCCATCATTAAGGCTTTTGATATCTTTCCACCATCTAAGCTTCCTTTGGATAATTCAGAATTGGCTACTTACGGTGACACTGAGCTTTTACTTTTATGTAGTAAATACAGGTCAAAAGTAGATGAAGAAGCTGTTCTCACAGAGTGGGATGGGTTTAAGCAAAACATGAAAAATAACTTTATTAGCATCACAATGGCAGAGCTCTTAGATCACCTAGTCAACACAGATTCTCTCAAGCTACAATATCCTAATTTGTCTATTTTGGCCCAGATAGTACTTGTCTTTCCAGCTAGTAGTGTTGACTGTGAGAGAGGATTCTCCACTCAAAATCATATCAAATCCAAATTAAGGAATCGGCTAGGACATCTTCACCTTGATATGTTACTACGAATAAGGCTTTTAGGTGGTCCACAAGAGCAGTTTTCTTTTCAGCAGGCATACCAAATTTGGTTACATTCGAAGAAACGCAGATCAAGACCTATTGAGCCGCCTAGTGGAACTGAAGATGAATTGGAAAGTGATAGCAGTGACAATAATGATATTATGGACATGTAATTTGCAAAAATAATTTTTTTGTTATTTGACTCACAAAAATTACTATGTGACGCACTTCTAGCTGCTTTAGTGGGTCAAAATTAATTTCCTATAGAATTTGACTCACTAGTCCAAAAGCTTAACAACAACACTGTATATAACCTTTCAGACTAGTTAAACAAAGACACTATAGTGGATAGTGGATCTACATCACCAAAAGGCACACACAAAAAAATCTTCCTCCATAAGAAGCAGAGAAGGTATATAATTAACTATACAATACTGCAACACCAAAAGTAAACCGAAATGTTACAAAGTGAAACAAAAGTATATCATACAACCCTGAGCTGCAAGTTGAGTATAAGGCTGGTGGCAGAAGTATATCTAGGCCATGTAGTAGATCAGACTCAGTCCTGCAAGACATGCACCAGCACCACAGGATAGTGACATTCAAGAAGCAAAAGAATTGTGCATGAAACACAAGATGGAGTTTAAAAGTGTTGAATGGACACACATAAAAGCTGTCCATACTGGGTACTTCAGTCCTCAATTCCTCTGTTTCCCCGGACTTCAACTACTGCTCCTAATGTTGAGACTCTGACCAAAAGACAGGTGATTAATACTTGGGGAAAAGGGGAGCTCCCAAACCTTCAAGCCAGGAAGAACCCCTTCTTACCCTCCAGTAACTGAGCCCTGTAAGAAATACAAAATGGATACTGCAAGCATTTAAAATGCAAGTTAGAGCAACCCTTGCACTGAGAAAACTACTTAAAAAGGAAGGCAAGTTAACCTCACCTAAACCTGTGATCCAAGCAATAATTAACCTACAAACCTGAAATCTTACATAAGAAAAATGCAGACATCCAGCAGAATCTCTTCCATGGCTAGATTTACATTTGCTTGCCCCTGACCTTTTCAGTTAGTATTTGTAGAGCTTGTATTCACTGTGGCACTTTCATCTTTTAACTGATGGCTACTCCAATATCATCATCCGGTTCTTGTGAAACCAGACCGTCTACTTCTACTAGCAACTCTTAGGCTCAGGAGGAGGTACCTTAGGGTGGGTATTAATTGCGATCTTAAATTTTTGCGTTTTAAGGGTACCCTGATTTAGCGAAATGTAATTTTAGTGAATAGGAACTATAATTGATATTTTAATAATAGTAACTTAATTAACTTAATATAACAGCAACTTAATAATAGTAACTTAATCAATCTTGTCATCAGTTATTATGTAAGTATATGTGTTCAAATGGGTTCTCAGGGGGAATGGAAGTTGTACCATCAAGCAATCCAGCAATTCCAGCTTTTTCCCACCCTTTGATAATTATTGGAGTGCCTTTTATAGATGTAAAGAAATTATACATTTTTAACAGCCACTGTGCATGCAGAGGTTTGATGGTAGTTAAGCGAAAGTCCACATCAATATCTTCCATTTCTTTTCCACTGGCTAGCTGCTCTCTCACTGAATTACTGTAGTACATGACAAATTCCCTCCTCATGTACTGCTTTGCTGATTTGTTTACTGTTAAGTCAAGGGGCTGGAAAAAGTGAGTCATACTTGCTGGAACTGCTGTGAATTCAATATGGAATGAATCTAATCACTTCAGTACTTTGTCAGTAACCTACCCTTTGAAGACATCCCATATTACTAAGGCCTTTTGTGTCTTTGATAATCCCATTTCTTCTCCTTTCTTGACTACATAAGGGCTAATGATATAATCAACTAGCTTTAAAGTTTCCTCCTCATTAGACCAATGTTTAGTGTTCTGTGATATCAAAAAATCTGATATAAATTTAAACCCACGAGGCTGGCTCTTTTCTATTTTTCCTCCATCACTTAACATAAAAAATCATACTGAACTAATCTCATCAAGACTTCAAAAAAAACCAAATTTTTCCCTTTAAATAATCAGGGTACACAAGGTCTAATTATTGCAAAAATGAACATTTTCTCATTAAATTATAGGCAAAGGAATAGTAAAAAATATAAATGCATTAAAGAACTGAGCTAGTGAAAAGCTTCATGAGTTTGTTTATGCACCACCAACAATCGTAAGCAATTTCCAACTGAAAATTCAAGGCCATAAAAAATATTTGCCAACATTTAGATCACACAACAAAATCCAAATGTGCATAAAAAGATGTAGAGCTTGTTCTAGTGCTACTTCTTTGTGTTCAAACTTCTTTTACTCTTCAATGAATGGGAAGGATATTTACATAGTCAAATCTAGTGATTTACATGCCATATAAAAATAAGAGTGGTTAGTGGTTATTGATAAATTTTTATCAGAACACAATGACAGGTCATTAATGAAACACAAGAAGGCAGACTGAGTAAACAAAATAATAGCTGGCAAATGGAGTGATGGATGAGACTTTCATATACTATCAAAAAAATGTCACTTGTTACATTGTACACGTTTTTATAGAACAAGGCTTGTGTGTCATTGAAATAAAGAAATAGAAGAAAAAACTGAAAAAATGAAGGACTTCATTGTAATCTTTGTTTATACTGATAACATTAATGTTAATGGTGATCCTTTCCTTCCTCCTACCATCAAGAATTGTGATTGGAAAGATTGAATGGGGCAAGTAAAGGGAAGTACATTTTGTAATCTACCACCCATCAAAGGTGTCATATTATTGTAATATGTCAATATTATTGATTTTAATAAATAATTATAGTGTAGTTGAGCCTACAGAAAATTCATTCATTAGCATGTGCAGGTCCTTTTAATACGCTAAGTGTTGTCTATAAGAGCATTTATTACGGTATGAGGACAAAAGCTTAGGAAAAACTGCGGCTGTTAAGAGGTCAAAATTTAATGAGTTTATGTAGGTCATGATAAACAGGATACAATAATAGTAACAGAAGTGTATCACATAGCATGGAAAATGTACTGAACTAATCCCACCAAGATTTCAAGAAAAAACCCAAACTACACCAGGTCTATTTATTCCAAAAATGAACATTCTCTCAAAATTAAATTTATACCTCTCTCCTGCATGGTGCATCCTCTCTCTCTCTTTACTCTCTCCTCTCATCTCTTGCATTATCTTTGTAGACATACTGGTGAAAAGGAATTGATAGAAAAGCTGAAAGCAGAACTCATAAGAACCCCTGAAAAAGACACTGTAATCAATAATCTAGACGAGATTTTGAAAGAATTCACATAGGTCCATTTGTACTATTATCTTTATTGAATAAAATTAATAAGATTTTACGTTGATCATAGATTATGAAAGAAGCACAAGTTATACTACTGGCATTGATGCACAACATGGTTTACACGTGAAATTTTTTAAAGTACTATCTCCATTTCTCTCACTTGCTCTCAGATTTCTGAAATTGCACATGATCACTCTGTGAAATCCATGGCTAGGAATTGAAAACTGCACCTATCGCACCTTGATTAATCAAAATTGATTCAAGACTCAATTATACAATTTAATTTCAGGTAAAACTATTAATTTTAAATTTAAAAATTAATTCTTCAGTACTTATATTTTATTGCAGGTGGTTATGTAGCCACGTAAGAATCAATAACTGGCCACATCTTATTCATAGACTACAAATCTAATTCAAATTTTACTTCATTTTTCAATTTTTTTTTTATTAGAACCGTTACGAGAACATGTCAGTGCAATTTACTTATCATGTACATGACATGGGTGCAGCTTGCCTTTGCACTCTACACACACTAGTGCCTGTATTGTTTATTTCTCATGTACATCTTGTATTTTGGATGTACTTATCATATGAGGGTAGTGTATTGTAGAGTACAATTATAAGTGATAGTCTTTTTGTGTGTAATAATATTTTAATGGGCCAATATGATTCGATATGTCTGACTATACATGTAAGCATTTCATCCACCACATAAAATACTTTTGCTATATACGAGCTGTAAATATTCACTAACAATTAAGGCTCTATTACAACTATGCTATAAAGTTCTTGTCTGCAACAGACAATTACAGCAAAAACTGTAGCCACAAAAACAAAAAAATTACCTTTTGGAGTTTGAAGACAAAGGCCTCATTGTGGTACCAGAACATGAGTTACAGGGTTCCTTTGAAGTAATGAAAGATTACTATACAGGAAGTACAAATGTAGCATCATTGACAAAGAGAGTATGGGACCTACAGTTTCTTGCTAAAATGGTTTTATTAGGAAGTGAGATGAATATGTTAATGAAGGAGCAATTATATCTTGATAATGATGCAAGCTTGATATCATAGGATGATGCTAATACTGCTTTAAAGACCGATAAGAAGGAGACTAAGAAGAAGAGAGTTTTGAATGTAAGCTATATAGTTCACGTGTATGTACCTTTATACAGGATAATACTCAATTAGAAATTAACTAGAAAGAATTGTAATAGGATTAGGAAGTGAAAAAAGTATGAGACTAAATGCAGGATGATACTTTGAGTAGCTTTGATCGATTCCTTAGAAAGTCACAGATGGTGCCATTTTCAATAAATTTCTTTAAAATATAGCAGATTCCCATTTTTGAAATAACAATATCCTCTTGATCAAGTCTCTCTTAAATTGACTGAATTGAACAGCCTTGAGTTCTTAAAAACTATTTGTCTTCTTACTTCACAGAAACTCTTCTCATTTTATTCCTAAGTTATCCACCCCATTTGACACATGTGCATGCATGCATGTAGCATGGGTACAAGGACGTGGACATACAAGATTGCTTGTATGCAGTGGCGGATCTAGGGGGGGCCTGGGGGGGCCATGGCCCCCCCAAAATTTTTGTGGTGAAGTATAAAATTAGTTTTATCTATGTAAACTGTGAAACAGCCACAGTACTTGACTGTGTAAACAGTCTGTAAACCACAAAGGAGCTCATTTAAGAGGCCTAATCTTCAAAATTTTGACTTTCCAAATGAAATCCTGCAACCCTGGTTGACTGCACCCACTAATTATTCCACCCATATCATTAAGGCCTCCCCAGAAATTCAATCCTAGAACCGCCACTGCTTGTATGTTCAGCATGATTCCATCGTTAATGATGAATTTCATTTTTTACTTGACAAATTATAGCTGAGTGGTACTGTAGCAAGGAAGCAGAGCGGGGGCCAAACATGTATCTTCAGGAGTAACTTATTGGAATGTTTATTTATTCATTAATTAGAAAAAGAGAGGGTAAAGAGAGAATATAGGAAGCAGCTAATCTACTAATGCATTATATAATGGTTTACATAAACACAATCATGTATATCATTAATAAAATGAATTTCTCCATAAGGTTCTCAAAAATGTGCTACGCGATAAATGCATCATGCAGATGTACTTAGCAATCATCAGGTAAATGATACCTATTGCACATGCGCACAGAGGAATGTGTTGTTCTCATCATTTCAATAATTTGAAAAAAAGAACTTGACGATCAGTTGGTTAGTCTCCTTCTTAATTCCTTGCTCCCTCTATTAACACCAATCTTCTTTTTTAGTATGACCACTCCTACTTCAGTCAGAAGATTGACCAGGGCTGCCCAGCCTGCTCTTTCTCTCAAAGAGTGACGCCTGAATTGAAAGAAATACCCCAACTACAAGGATGCCATCAATCATCATTGTACTTAAATTTGAAAAAAGCATATTGAAAGTGGTGAGAATTTTGAGATTGACAAATTTGCAATTATTCTTGACAAAGTAAAATGCAGTGTTTGAAAAAGAAGAAAAAGTGATGATTCTGTATCTTTCATTGTACTAAAAATATGTAGCAATAATGGAAAAAATTATAGGGAACAATGATAGATGTATAGACAAAAGTGTTAAGTTATAAAAAGCATCAAAGTTAAGAGTGTAGTGAACAAGTTGTAAAACTGCATTAAATCATAGCACATCTAAAAATACAACAACACCAAAAGTAAACTAGCTAAATGTTACAAAAGGAAGCAAAAGTGACTATTCTGTATATTCCAAAGTACTGCAAAAAATGTAGAAATAATGGAAACAAGAAATGGAGATGGCAAATAAACATGTCATAGTGCAGACAATGGGTTATATCATTGAATTATGTCACCGTAATTCGCCAACTGGCATCATCATTACAGAAATGTACTTCCAAATTATAACTGCCTAAACTTAATGCTTTTGTCATGGCAAATTCAATCTACATACCTTCAAAAAGGTAGAGGTTGATAAGTGCTGTATAAAGACAATAATTTATTATCATTAATCAAATGAAATAATCCACTGTTGTACTAACAACAAAGTGTAAACTGTTCATTAGTTTTTTCTCATCATTTTACATACAACTCATAATAGCTAACAGGAACATCTTCATCAGCTGTACCAGAATCTGCACACACCCTCAGCTCGAGGTAGTCAGTAGTGGCAGTGTTTAGTACCTTATTGAACCATGGAAGACCTGGAGCTGTACAACAATTACCTTCAAGACTACCACATCCTTTACCATCCCACAATGGATCAGATGTATAAAGAATAACTTGCCATGTACCATCAGCAGCAGGATTACCAGATTCACAGAAGTAGTCATTACCAATGAAAGACTGAATAGTCTGAGTACTAACTTTGGAACAAGGACATTTGTTATAGTTTTTATAATTACTAGCCTCATTCAGTCCAGCGATTAGTGTCCAGACATGTTGACGAGGAGACCCACGAGTGATACTAACACCTTCAACATAAAAAGAATTAATATCATTGTGGCCTATCCCCGCAGTAGCTGCATCAGTTGAGCCATACTGGTATCCCACAACTCTACCACACACTTGAGAGTAACTAATACCATTAGATGGAAACTGAACTGATGTACAACTACCTAAATTTGACGTTGCTCTACCACAAGCTCTAACTCCTCCTGACTGGTACAATCTAAACCCAGAAGGACAGTTCACTGTAGCATCAGTCATATCCAGATATCCTAGTCTTGTCCATCCTCCTACTGAACCACACGGCTCTTTCATATTACAGTAAACATATTGGGTTCCATTGGCAGCAGTTGCCAGTAGATACACACCAGAAGGACTGTTTGGTTGTTTGTTCTTAATCTCTTGACAAGAAGTAGGGATAGGAGAGAAGGAAGATGAGTCATTGTGTAACATGATAAGGTCTTCCACTAGTAGCAGTATATCATTGATAGCTCCAGCATTAGAGGTAGAAGTCTCCTTGATATGAGAGAGAGAAGAAATAATACCATCCATTTTCTGTTTTATTTCTTGAATGTCTTGATCATTGTTCCTGGTAATATTGAGTAGTTCATTCAATAGTCCATCAGTCTTGTTAGAGATAGTAATAGGATCAGTATTACTGGTATCACTGCAGGTAGTACAGGCTGCAATACAAGTATTGTTAGCAGCATCAAATGTAAGAGCAAGATTAGAACTAGTGATAAACTGAGGGAGACAAGCAATAGCTAGTATAAGAAGAGAGAGCATTATTATCCTCTTTGTAATGATTGTTTACTGTTTACTCCTCACTCCCTTTATAATATTCATAAGGGCCTGACTAATGACGTCAGACGTGATGCTTTGTGGTAACTTAAATTAATGACAGTTCTGTGTGATAGCTGTTGTGGTTGTGTTCATTGTGTTTTTTTTACTGAGGCATATAATTGCCAATCAATTTGACACATGAGTGAAGCCATTCCTGGTAAGTGGTTTGTTTGTACACGTTCATCAGGCCATTTTTAAAAATTGGCCAATTACTGCATAATACCAAGCAGAGCATTACTATACTGTACATCACAGATCCAAACTGACTTTTGCGCAACGAAGTTATATTTAAGTTTTGGCCTTGCAATTCTCAAATGAACAGTGAGAGGGTCAGGATAAGCGGATGACAATAGGAGCCTCTACTCTCTATAGCGCTGCTGGTGCATTAAATCATTTTCTGGCACAATTGTCAGCTAACACGATGTGTGCTGTAGGGCAGGTTGATAAAAAAGCTATTAAATACAGTTTGCATTTTGAACAGATAATAATAGAATATTACTGACAGCAAGTACAAAGCAAATGAGGCTTCACTATCTAAAATGATTTTGAAGATTAAAACAAAAACTTAGAAATAATTCAGTTTATTAATGAAGACGGTAATTCACAAACAAGTTCTAGGAAGGGGTTGGGCAAATAGTGCAGTTCTATAAAATGTTGCATGAGTGAGAACTCAATTAATCGTGATCCAAGAACTAACTAAATGTAAGTCCTACAGCTCTTGATTTTTATTTTCATCTTTTTATGATAGGCTTAGCGACATTGATTGTCATTGTGTTCACTACTATCGTGAAATCAAAACTTTCTGAGTAGAAATTGTCAACAACATAAAGTTAATCAAATGGTCAGAATCTCAAATAAATGATGTGGACTTCAAGATCAAGTGTCAAGAAAGACTTCACAATAATAACGTTAAACAGAATCAAAACTCAGAACGAGACTTTCGTACTATAAGAGAAGGTATAACTGCTAATAGTAGGCAAATCGCAGTAAAAAGATTAAGAACTACCCACTATCACACTATGGATACAGAAGAAGAGACATTTATTATAGCCCAACCTATAATTAAAAATTGGCTCTCAAATCACGTTTTAATTCATACAACATATCCTGATATTAATGTCTTTATGTCATGTAGAATGTTTAAGCTGATTATGGCAAAAATTAAGTCATGGTTATCTAAAACAAGTGTAACAGTGTAAAAATATTCCTATAATTGTTTTCACCACCTTGCAAGTACAGCTAGGTTCTTATCAAAACTTATGAAGGTTCTCTCTAGCTTCTAATGCTTCCAGAAAAGACTTTAGACAGTATCTCTATGCTCTCTCGCTGTTAGAAAGCTCATAACTTTGTCCCATGTGCAAACCGCCATTTTGCTTGCCGTGACCACACCCACTTACATAGCGTGAGCGAGTGGTTGCTAAGGTTTGTTATTTCTCAAATACAACATGTATAGAAGAAATGTAAGTGTTAACAAACAATCAAATATATATTGCACGTGGGTGAAATCAATTATAGGACGACCTGGGGGCTACGGCCCCAGGTTGTAAAAAAGATGCGAATTTAGAAAAATGCCATGTACTGATATTCTTTGATAGCCCAAAGAGGCTCTTAGTTCAACTCTCAGCATTTCTCCACACCGTCTAGGCCTAATGCTACTCCATTAGTATCTATAGCACTTCTGGTCTCAATGCAGGAACATGAAAGTAATTCCTCCATTATGTAAAAGAGCTTTTATTAAAAGAAGACTCTAAATCTCAAATAGAGCCAATTCCAAACAGAAATACTGGAGTTATGGCCAATTTTTAAAAAATACACTGTACTATAGCCTATGCTTTCTTTCCAAAAAGTAATGACTAAAAAACCACAACCAATTTTTATTACATTTCCTGATACATTTCAATGTCCTTATGCTATGTACAAAGTTTGAGCTGATTATGACACAAAGTTGTGGAGTTATGGCCATTTTTATAAGGATCCTGTAAAGGTAAAACCCTGTTGCTGATATGCTAACTAATAAGTAACAGCTTAGGCTGATGCTATTGTCACTGGAAAAAATAATGCATTAATTAAAAAAACTCAATATACATATCTTCTACAAAAGGTAAAGAACAATATGTGTCTGTATAAAGACAATTAACTAATGATAATCAATTGAAATAATCTACTGTTATACTAACTACAAAGAATAAACTGTTCATTAGCTTTTCTCATCATTTCACATACAACTCATAAAAGCTAACAGGAACATCATCACCAAAATCTGCACAAACTCTCAGCTCTAGATAGTCAGTAGTGGTAGCGTTTAGTACCTTACTGAACCATGGAAGACTAGGACGAGATGTACAACAAACTCCTTCAAGACTACCACATCCTTTACCATCCCACAATGGATCAGATACATAGAGAATGGCTTGAAACGTACCATCAGTAGCAGGATTACCAGATTCACAGAAGTAGTCGTTACCAATGAAAGACTGAAGAGTTGAGTTTTGAGGACTACCTTGAGAACAAGGACAATTGTAACAACCATCATTACTATGAGTATAATTACTAGCTTCATTCAGTCCAGCTATTAGTGTCCAGACATGTTGACGAGGAGACCCACGAGTGATACTAACACCATCAACATAATAAGAATTGATATCAGTGTGACTAGAATCAATAACACTACCATATGATTCATCATCATATCTACCTGGATATACTGCATCACGTGAATTATACTGATATCCCACTACTCTACCACACACTTCAGAGTAACTGATACCATTAGATGGAAATTGAACTGATGTACAACTACCTACATTTGGTTTTGCTTTACCACAAGCTCTAACTCCTCCTGACTGGTGCAGTCTAAACCCAGAAGGACAGTTCACTGTAGCATCAGTCATATCCAGATATCCTAGTCTTGTCCATCCTCCTCCTGAACTACATAGCTCCTCCATATTACAGTAAGTATGTTTAGTTCCATCATAGGTATACACCAGAAGGACTGTTTGGTTGTTTGTTCTTAATCTCTTGACAAGAAGTAGGGATAGCAGAGAAGGAAGATGAGTCATTGTGTAACATGATAAGGTCTTCCACCAGTAGCAGTATATCATTGATAGCTCCAGCATTAGAGGTAGCAGTCTCCTTGATATGAGAGAGAGAAGAAATAATACCATCCATTTTCTGTTTTATTTCTTGAATGTCTTGATCATTGTTCCTGGTAATATTGAGTAGTTCATTCAATAGTCCATCAGTCTTGTTAGAGATAGTAATAGGATCAGTATTACTGGTATCACTGCAGGTAGTACAGGCTGCAATACAAGTATTGTTAGCAGCATCAAATGTAAGAGCAAGATTAGAACTAGTGATAAACTGAGGGAGACAAGCAATAGCTAGTATAAGAAGAGAGAGCATTATTATCCTCTTTGTAATGATTGTTTAATATTAACTAAGCTCTCTCTCTCTTTTATAATATTTAAAAGAGCCTGACTAATGATGTCAGACATCATGCATTGTGGATGTGGCAACTGTTAAATTAATATTAGCGATTTGTGGTAGCTGTTGCAGCTGTACATGTATGTCAGTATGAATAAAGCATAACCTTGTCCATCCTCCTGAACCACACAAGATAAAGATTAGGTGGCCCTTCCTAGTAAAGTACATGTAGTTCTAATTGTAAACCTTTTTTCTTGTCTGTTGTCCATATCAAGGTAGGAACCAGTCCCACCAAAACTCCAAGAAAAACCAAAAATGATCCTTTTAGATATTCAGGTCCAAGAAAAACCAAAAATAATTCTTTTAAATATTGAGGGCAAACCAGGTATAATTATTTCAAAATTAACATTCTCACAAAAAACAATTAAATACAGAAATAGTGAAAAGCTTAATAAGTTTGATAAAGCACTACCAGAAACCATAACCAACTTGAAAATCCAAGGCCATCGAAAGTTAGATGACAAAGCCAAATCAAAATGTGCATAAAAAGTAGAGCATGTTCTTGAGTTTAAAGTTGTTCTACTCCTCAGTGAATAAGGTTGTACATAGTCATATCTAATGATTTTCATGCCACATGAACATCAAAGTGGTTAGTGGTTATTGATAAATTTAAATCAGAACATAATGACAGGTCATCCATGAAACACAAGTAGGCAGACTGAGTAAACAACAGTTTAATTGGCAAATGCAATGAAGGATGAGGCTTCCATTTTCTTCCAATGAACAATGTCACTTAACATTACATTGTACACATTTTTATGGGAAAAAAGTGTGTGTATCATTACGAATTAGAAACAGAAGAAAAAAAAGTAAAAGAATGATGAACTAGCATCCATTGTAATCATTGCCATAGTAACTATAAGACTGATGTTGATGGTGATTATCCTCTTCCTCCTACCATCAACAATGGTGATTGGAAAGCTCCCATTAAATTTAATAAGGTATGTAAAGAGAAGTACATTTTGTAATGCACCCATCACAAATGTCAAATTATTTAATATGTCAATATTTTGATATGCTTAAATATACATGTATGCATTTCATAAAGTATAAGCATACAGTAACACACATGCTTATATGAAATATGTTTGCTGTATGTAAGAGCTGTAAATACTCACTACAACTTCAGACTTTACAACTAAGCTAAGTTCTTGTCAATCTGCAATGGGCAATGACAACAAGAACTGTAGCCACAAAAACAAATAAAAATTCTACCTTTTGGAGTTTGAAGACAAAGGCCTCATTGTGGTACCGGAACATGAGTTACAGGGTTCCTTTGAACAGAGAATGTTCCATTGAAATAAATCAGGAAATTGTATACAAGAAGTATACATGCATAGTAATTGACAAGGGTGAGTATGAGACCTACAATTTCTTATTAATGTGGTTGTATTAGGAAGTGACAAAGTATGCGACTGAAAGAAGAACTTTATCTCAATGATGATAATGTAAGAAAGTTTCTTTGACAAGGCAATGCTTTATTCTTTACAGAGCAATACAAAGAACAACTAGGTATTGAGTGCTCACTCTCACAACCTAGTGGGAATGAAAACATAGTAGCTCTTCATACAGGAGGCAACTTGCTACTAGCAACCATGCAACATGCTGCCAAAATAAAACAGTGTTTTATTCTTCACAACATCTTGCTTTTAAGACGAAAGTATAACAACAAATGTAGACAATGAGAAGCTACCAAGGGAGCAGATGTGAAGTTGGTTGTGGCCAATTCTGGAAAAGTCAACTATCTCTTATCTCTATGGACCAATACAAGCAAGTGCAGTGGTACTAGCCATGAAATTCATTTAAAGGTCCACTTGATTGATGAAAGAATCCAACACATCAAAGTACCACATAAAGTACAGCGTAAGCCCTGTGGTATCACAGACTTATTGCACTGGAAAGGTACATTACACAGTAATACTTTGGCACACTTTTATATTAATTTCTATAGCATCTCAACATAGAGCTTGACTTTTCTTTTATTATGTACCTGTCCTTCAAGGCATGCTTGATGATAGGTACTTGAAGTACATGTACTTGATGCTTTTCTCAGGAGCCCTGTGGTTCCTGTTGCAACAGAGCATCACTCAAAATGATATCCAGCAGGCTGAAAACTGGCTTGATGACTTTAGTCAAGGATTTGTAACCCTGTATGGAGGTACTACATATTCATTTTTAAAATTGATGTATGATAAGCAATTATCTTGCAGAAAGGCATTGCAATATGAATGTACACATGATTGCACATGATTGTCATAGTGTCAGAGACTTACATGTAGCTCCATTGTGGGCACATTCTGCATTTGAATTTGAATCGATGAATGGGTGGATTAATAATTTATTCCATGGATCAAACAACATTGACAAGCAGGTTTATTAAATGTTTAATGCTATAATAGTTACCATTTTATCAGAGGATTATTACAGAGACAGCAGGTACAAGCTTCTATAAGCAATGTACTACAAGACTTAGATGTTAGTGTTCTCCCAATGTTTTTAGATAATATGTTTAGTCATCATCACAGGTATATTTCTTATTATGATTATAGGCTTGCTAATTAGTATCATTAATTCCTAGATATGCAACTCTATTCAAAATAAATCATGAAATGTTGGCCATTGGGGATTTGGTACAGTTAAGTGATGATGAAAGAGAGCTGCTTCCTCCAAACACAACTCGTCGAGTAGTTGCATATAGCCGACTTTTAAAGAGTGGGGAAACATTTTTCAGTGCAAATGCTACACAAGATAACCACAACAACAGCGATAGTATAGTCATTTTGACGGTCAATTTGCTGCAGTTATGAAGTACTTGAGCTATTCAAAATAAATTCCCTACCCCATCCGGCATGACTTCAAAAGTAGGTAACTGACTTGAGTCACTTCCCTCAGCTCCCTGTGTAGACAAAAGCAGCCTGCTAGTGCTACAAGCTTCTTTCAGGATCTAATGCAAGGTCCTTCGTCATCTTCTAACCTTGATGACTTAGAAATATTAATTGAAGAATATTTGTCTGCACCCTGTCTGCCTCAAGAAGATGACCCTCTTATCTACTGGAAAAATCACGAGAAGTGATTTTCATGTATAGCAAAACTAGTTCCTAAATATTTGTGCATTCCAGCATCATCAGCTCCTGTGGGGTGGCTTTTTAGCATTGCAGGAAAGGTCTTTCATCCTGAAAGATGTCGTTTCAGTGACAAAACTTTGAAACATTAATGCTCATTGAATGCAATACATGTACCTAAATAATATTGATTATACATGCATTATACATAATTAATAGAGACTTTCAATTTACATTGTTAATTTGATCTATTATTAAATAAAACTAGTTCAAAATTGTCTAAATACTTGCGAATAAAGTATTTGCAATTGTAATTAAAATACATAGATGAAGTATTTGTAATTGTATTTAAACAGAAAGCTGCAAACAGTATTTGTATTTGTATTTGTTGTTTTTCTACAGTATCTGTATTTGTATTTAAATACTTTCATCTTGTATTTGACCTAAGTTTGGGTCATGTAGGACATAAGAGCCCAGACTCCTTTTTAAAGAATTACCATAATTGGTATGTGTGATGCTAATTTGCCTCTATAAAGTAGCAAATAAGTGAATTTATGAGAAAAAAATACAGTAATAGTTTGTTGTGATTAAAGCTGATGCAAACGTGATAATGAGTCATATACACATGTAGTAGAGTACCATATAGCTGGTAACTTTCGTGGGTCCTATAATTCGCAAAATCTACTAAAACTCCAATTCGCAGATTTTAATTTCATGAATTCTACCACATATGCCATGCTGGTACGGTATTAAAAATTGATTTTTGTCAATTTTATTTCATAAATCAGGAAGGAATCCACAAAATTCGCAAAACTTGCAACCGTCAAAAGTAACCACTTAAACGGTAATGCAGGGCAATAGTACACCTACCACTATCATAAGCTATAGTTACAACACTGTCACAATTTTGAATAATCAATTGAAGTAAGTGGCCTCACAATTAATATATAAAAAATTTATTATATCGTTATTAGCCATAAAATTTCCAACTGCAACATTAATGCCAGTGTTTCCTTTTCTAACTGTGAATACTGCTGAAGGCAGGGATCTTGAGGCAATGCAATACGCAACTCTGAGCCCATAGGGTGAATCATCACAGGATACGATTAGTGGCTTGCTTGGATTGTAATGAACCAGTAGTAGTGATACATGATGACGTAATTGTTCAGAGGATAAAGTTAAGAGGTGAAAAGAAATATCTGACAAAAACCAAAAGTTAGAATAATTATGGCTAAACATAGCCACACACTTCCCAGCACATTAAGCAAGTGGCCAAAGCTCTACTGTTATAAGTAAAAAGCCATCTTAGTGTCAATAGTATAATGGCTAATACATGTAGTTAATGGGAGGTTAATAGCAGAGGTCTTGATCTTTGTCTTTGTGACTTGCAATGTGAGGTCTCCTGTATCTATCAGGCTGGAGTGAGAGGGAGTGTGTCTGTCTGGTGGTTGTCTGGTTGGTATGTCCTTTGCTGCTTTCAGCATGAGACATGTACATGTATCTGTGGGTCAAGTGAGCTGTCTTGTGGTTGTGATAATGTCCTTGAATTGGATCACTCTAATTTTCTGAGTTTTAGAAAAGTGCCTGTAGCAAGGGAGTCCCCCATCCAGTTCAGCATGTCTATATGACATGTACATACATGAATATGATGGTGTCGCACATGAATTTGTGTGTTACTATCATCATAATGTTTGCGAAGTTGTGACATAAATTAAAAGAATTGAAAAAGAATTGAACACGATATTAATTCATTCGATAGTAAGGTGATTCAATATTATGATAGAAATAGCTCTATTCTATTACTGTGATAGTGAAGGTGTACATGTGTATATACTATAAACCAAAGGCCGGTTCACAATATTATGCAAGCCCTGATGTTACGTAGACACTGGAATAGAATCTGGTTCTATTCTAGAGAAAGCATGTGTCAAAAGGTGAAATTGCCCACACTTTAAAAATGAAGGTACGTTGGCTTAGTGTCATATTGTAAAAGGAGCTCAACTGTAGGTCAACGATTAAAGTCAAACGCTTAACGCAGGTTGCCTCAAATGACTTAAGCTACATGTAACATAAACATGTACATGTACAAAATGTATATTAGGCTATAATGTTTCACCATATACTCTCCCTACATTGTGAATAATAACGTGCTCTCATACAAGTACAGGTACATGTACATGCATATAATTTACCGGAGAAGCCATGACAATTTGTAGTAGACATGAGACTTAGTCTGTTCCTATGGTAACTACATGTATGTTTTCATCAAACAAGGTGTTAACAGGTGACAGGTTCAAAGCAACTGAAGCTCCCAGTGTTGGAAGAGCTATCCCACCAATAGTGACATCAATAATCCCACCCAGAATCTGACACAATGTCAAGACACTTTCTACAAAATGAAATGACAATACATAAATGTAACTTAATAACAATGATTGCTAATACTCTTATAATTCATACCATACAGGGTTTCCCACAAGGCATGCTTCATGAGCTGAAAAGCACTACAAGAGTACATGTACGTTGCTTAGGGGAAAATTAAAAAATTTGTAAAAATAATCCAATTTTGTTCAGAATCAGTTCAAACATGCTACATAACATAAGAAAATGTACATGCATACATGTGTGAATAGGAAAATGTAAAAAATGAAAAGTACAAAAAATTAACAATTCTCTCCTAGTCAAATTAAAAGAATCCAACCAAAGCAAAGACCCTGTATAGTACAGGAACTTTGGACTGACTTTTACTACCTTTAAAATTAGCAAAAAATCCAATTTTGATTTAAATTAGCTCAAACTTGCTATGAACATGTAAATGAATGAGAAAAATTATAAAATGCAGAATTCTCCTCTAGTAATTTTTGGCAAAATCTGGTCCAAAACCCTGTAATCTAGTAAAGAAAACTTTGGACTGATTTTTGATTTTAAAAATCATATTTTGTTCAAAATCAGCTCAAACTTGCTAAACAACATATTAATGCATGTACATAAATCAGTAAAATTATAAAAAGGAGAATTTTCGAATGAACACTATGCACAAATTTGGTGGGAAACCCTGATATTGTATAACTAGTAATTTTAGCGGGATAATATTTTGATTTTTTGATTATTTGTGGGTTTAAATTGTGGCCAGGTGCCATTGTAAAAGTTCAAAATGGTGAGTTAAATTTTGACGATTGGCGAGCAAACTGAAAATTTGACAAAACTTCCTTTCCAAAATTACTAGCTATACATGTATACCATATAGCTCCAAATTTTCCTAGCAAAAATTTCGTCAATATCTTAATTTCTTGTTAAAATCAATTTCCGTCATATTTATTAAAAATTCGCATAATAAACATGTGAAGCAAAAATATTTTATCGGTTAAAAATTTCGTTAAGCAAGAACTTTCGTCAAATTTGACAAAATTTTTGACCAAAAAATTTGGACCTATGCATGTTATATGTAAATGTATTGCAAGCTCACCTTTTGAAGGTATCCAATCATCAGACAAAACTTTTCTACAACAGTGTAAAATTAGCAAAACTTAGCACTAAAAAAATGAATAATATCATAATTATGTGTACACAAGCAGACAAGGTAGAAAAGGGTTTACAAAATAAACCAGTATATGGCAAATGTACATGTAGGAAAGGAAAGAAACTAAGTGGAACAAGTAAAGAAAGGATAGGCATTATAATATGTGAATGTATATGTACTTACAATGTACTAGTGCTTTCATTGCTTTTTCATGAACTCTTGGATGAATGTTATCACAAAACTCAGTAATTAAAAGCAACAAGGCTTCATGACTAGGGGAGGGGCTCTATGACTTCAACCAATCACATTAAAGCACTCTATTTAGAGGATATGACTAGGAGAGTATACAACATAACAATAATAATATAAATTAAAAATTATGCAAACTGTACCTCAACAGTGTCTTTGACGCATTGAGTAACAAACTAAAGAAAAATAATAAAAAAAAGAAATAAAATAAAAGCGATACATGGAAGAAATCCCATGAACATGTAACAAATGTGTTGCATACCAGTGTAGAGAGAGATCATGTAATATGTACTTTTGAAGAAAATTTCTTGTCACTTTCAACTAGCACTTTAATTAACATTAGTACCTTGACATCAGGGGATTGTCACTAATTAATATTCATTAAATTTCAATAATACATTAATTAATCACACACTTACAATTCTTAATGATCAATGACTGATGCATTTTGGTTCTGCTGGTCATGTGACAGTGACACAACTAGTAGAAGGATTCCATTGTACAGCAAGGACATATTTCGATACTACTCTGACAAGTTTTCAACTTGATCAGTATTCATTTTAATAGAAATACTGGAATATACCAAGTCTTCAAGCAGTAAGTGTCCCAAATACGCTTTTATCCTCTTCTGCCGAGGAAACTAGTCTTGCGGCAACAGAATGGAGTACTGATTTCAGGTCAAACGTTACACCTTCCTCTTCTTTAAGCTCACTCTCAATACTCCGAGTCAGTGCAGTCACTCTTGCTCTTTTCCCATTGCTTGTCTCCATCAAACACAATAGCAGTCAGACAGGCCCAGAGAACGGTTGGTGATTCTCCATTCAGTCTGTTGGTGTTTTGGTGAAATCAGTCGAATCACTGAAGTGAAATGGCCAAATGGGACCATGTGCCAGATTTGTACTAGCCTTGTGGGCGTATTTGTTACATGAGGGGCCGGGGCCGGGGCGAAGGATATCTCAGGAACACCCAATCCGAGGGCGTTGCTGTACATATGGGTAGGTGTCGATGTCGTCATAGATATTAGAGTAACGTAAATGAACTACTCTAATGAATTACTCTATTATCTATGATGTCGTCATCATTAACCAGCCCCACCC